GCTGTTTAGAGTTTGGTCCAGTATCACAGATGGCTCTCTGTCTGCCAGTCCTGGCAGAGAGGCAAAGGATGGGGTGAGACTGGTAAACTGCTCTTACCTAAAAACTGGGCTCACTTAGGTGGGGATAGGCACCTTACTGGGATACCCACTTTGTGAGAGGATTTCTCCCTTCAGAGCTTTGGGGTAGAGTTTCAGATCCTGCCAAATGCCCTCCATGCATACTGCCTGACAGATCATGTATTGCAGGGCCTTTGGTTGGTTTGTTGCTGGGGCCAGGTATTGAACATCACTGCCTCCTGCCAGCATGCTGCACAGTAGAGAAGCAAAAAGGCACAGCAGGGTAGAGGATTTGGAGTGCAGTGATCTACATGTCCCCAGCTTGACCAGCCCTCCCCCGCTGACATTTAGCATGAGAATCTTCATTTTTTAATGAATGTTCATATTGAGAACTAAGCTGTTGCCCGCTCCTTCTTGCTTCCCAGTAACCCAGCTGACTGGGCCAGGGGATGGGAAGTGATACAAACCCATTCACTGAAAGGAGCATGACCCTTAAGACATTTCCCAAAATGAAAGGCTTTTCTCTTGCAATGTTATTCCTTCTGGCTAAAAGTCAGGGACAAAGCCAGGAATTCTGTCTTGTGCATGACCATGTGGCCATCATTGTGGGGTTAGGATGCAACATGGGTGTCCAAAGCCAGCATCTTTACCAGCCATCCTTGCCTAATTCCTTAATCCAGCACCAAGGAATCCCACACAGTGGAGAGAACCCAGTCACAGTGTCAGGAATGCCACATGCTCCCACAACCAGCAAGTCAGTAGAGGCTGAATGTGCTCAGCCTCTCAGAATTAGGCCTGAAGACTTTTAGGGAAGAAACTAAGCTTTAAGGACAGCTGTTCTGTTCAGGACCAGTCCTTCCTTTGTTACGTCTTCCCTTGCATCCCCAAATATTCCCTGCCTAGTGTCTCTGTGATCTCTCACCAAGGCTGTAGCTACTTTAGAATAGGGCTATTGCCCTTCTAGAGTTCCCTCAAGCTTCCCACCATTGTAAGGGGTTTGGTAGCCCTTTGCTTGCAAAATGACCCTGAGGCTAGGGCCTGTGGTGTGCTGGATTCAGAGATTCACAGAAGTTTAGGGCTGGAAGGGACCTCATGAGATCATCGGGTCCAGCCCCCTGCTCTGGGCAGGAAAGACTGCTGGGGTCAAATAACCCCAGCAAGGTATGCAGCCAGTCTCTTTTTTGAAGATTTCCAGGGTAGGTAGAAGGGCACACTTATTGCAGGGCCCCTATGCAAAAGGGCACAACTGTTCTAGAGCAGGCCCTTTTCCTGAGTTGTGCTGAGGTGCGCTTTGAAGCATTACCCAGCACTGGCATTGGTTTAATTTCTGCTTGGCCTCCTGTAGTTCACACACACAATCCAATGGCAAGTGATAATCTATGCAAACTGGATCTGCTGGAGGAAGAAGCACTTAGCAGCCAGTTTGTCATCTCTGTGGGGAGAACTTAAAGCCAGGGTGATTTCCATAGGGTTGGCTAATGCCTTCTCTGAGGAGACTGCTGCCACTTGGCATGGTTTCAGGAGCTGATTTATGGAAGCCTGAGGAATAAATCTGAAGACTTATCTGTGAAACCTGCCTCTCATCAGTGGCTGATTGGCTTCCTCTCCTGACTTCATGCATTTCCCATCACACCCAAAAAGGGAAGCATGGCAATATAGGCTGCTGCTTCTTGTGCTAACTGGGGTACTTTGAACACAGCCTGGATTTTCCACACCAGTTTAGAGCCAAGCAGGAGTCTGGGCCTTTCCCATGTAAAGCTTCCCAAAGCTCCTGTGAAACATACCAATGAAAGGCTGTGGAGGCTTCAGGCAAAGGGGAAATGTGTGTATGCATGTGGCACATGTGTTTTCATAGATGCATGCATCTTGGGGTCAGTGCCAGCTTGGTGGTTGGGAGGAGCTGGAACTAGAGGGTCATTGTTCTTGTGCATAGAGAATGACTAGAGAAGCAAACCTGGTTTATATAGCAGGTGTGGGGAGCTCCATGGTGGGGGACGCTGCAGAGTGTGCTCACTCCCTGTGGCACCCTTTGCCCACATGGTCTCCAGAGCTCTGTTGTCAGCAGGGTGGAACATAGCGTAGTAACACCCCAAGGGCAGCTGTGATGCACCCTGGTGGCCATGCAACCACGCTCCATTTTCTTGGGGTACCCTCCCTTTTACCTTGCCTGCCATATCTCGATGAAATTTCTATAGAGCTTAAGGAGGCTTCCCCAGGGTCCCATAGCGAGCATCTAGTTCACCTTAGCCTTGGCCTTTGGGTGCTAAGTTGTGGCCCTCCTTGCTCCGTTAGTGTGTCAGGGCACCAGTCATCTTATGGGTGGTATTCGTAGACTTGATCCTCCCCTGTAGCCATGCTCATACCCCATAGGTAGTATTTGGTATCGCTTTGGAGGGGCTCCCTAGCCCTAGTGCAACACTTGGACCTGTCAGGCCTCAAACCTTTGTTAGAGCTTCAGCCTTCCCAGCTTTGGCTCCTTTTCTCTGACTCTGCTCCCTCCTCCTCCTCCGTCCACTGCTTTAGCCCTTGGCTTCAGTGCCCTGGGCCCTGGTCTCATCCTTCTTGGGCTGCTCAGACCCTGGGGCCCCTGACCCAGGCAATGCTGCTCACATGCCTCTCAGTCCCCTTCTGGTCTCTCACCTTTGCAAACCTCTATGCTAGGTGCCTCTCAGGCACTCCTATGGCCTTCATGCCACCCCATAACCACAGCCCAGTATCAAATTTAAACATAACACAAATATAAGCAAATTGATTCCAAATTAAGGTTCCCCCCAACTCTGGGCCAATGCCATAAAATAGGCCAGACAAGGTTCTTTGGGTAAATCTGGTATCTTATCAGACCAGCTTAGATAGTTGGAAAAAAAATTTTTGCAAGCTTTTGGTCACAAACACCGTTTGTCAAGCTGAGGAAGCATCTGCAGTTGGCCTGTACTCTTCCTGGATGGAGTGAGTAGTAAAGATGCCTCTGGCTTCATGAAGCTTCCATTCAGCTTCTTTACTATTCTTTCCATCCAGGAAGAGCACAAACCAACTGCAGATGCTTCCTCAGCTTGACAAACGGTGTTTGTGACCAAAAGCTTGCAAAAATTTTTTTTCCAACTATCTAAGCTGGTCTGATAAGATACCAGATTTACCCAAAGAATCTTATCTGCTTATGTCCTTAGACCAACACAGCCACAACCTATACCCATAAAATAAGCCATGCTTCCTTCCTTAGCTTTCTCCTTCAAGCTCCATCACATAGCTTGGGTGCCTGCCAGTTTGTCTCCTACAATCATCTCCCCTCCAGAAGCTCTTCTACCTACAGCATGAAGAGCTAGACTACTTGCTCTAGCTCCAGGGCTGAGCTGATATCTCCCTGGGCTCCACCTCTTCTGGTTAGGTGAGCCCCTGACACACTACAGGTGTTTTCACTCAGCTTCATGAGCAGCCTGCCCTCACCTGCTGTAGTTTGCCTTCCTGTTGGTCTGGAGTTGTGCTCTACTGTCTTGCAGGCTCCCAAGGAGGCACTTTGCAGCCCTATAGCCCATATTTTCTGGTTTCCCCTGGCTGCTTCCACTCCTGCAGCTATCCCTACTTCAACTAGTTCAAATTACAGTCTTCTAATGCTGCCTTCTTATTCAATAAGTAAGTAGCAGGGGTTAAGGGACCCCGCTACACATGGCCATGGCAGAGCTGCCTGGGAGCTGCCTAGCTCAGTTATTTCAGGGAGAGGCTGTAGCTTTTCAGGTTCCAAGTGGGAGATGGGAGCAGGGGCCCCTAGTGAGTGATGCTGCCAGGGGGCTGGGAGTAGTGAGACCCCCAGTGAGGGGAGCTGCAGGGCATTTAGCAGTGGGAAGCTCCGCAGCAGGGATAATAGGGAGCATGCCCTGGGGTAGCCATGGGGAGCACCATGGGTGTGGTAGGGAGGCTGGGAATGAAGAGCCCTCTAGCTAATGTCATGTGGCCAGAAATATGCAGTTTCTCATAGAGGCAGAGGCTGGGCTGAGCCTTGGGCAATCAGCAGATGAGCAGGAGCAGGCACTTCCCCTTTGTGTTTTGTTCCTGTGGTGCAGGAGGGGCAGGAGCTGCTAGACGAGTGTTTCTGGTTTCCACTGCCTGCTTCCCCTCTTGAGCTTGGGTTCCTGGTATGCAGGCAGCCTGGATCGCTGGGAGCCTGAGCCCCCAAACCCAGGTGTCAGCAGGTGGGAGGGCATGATGCAGGGTAAGGACTACATTATTGTCTCTTGCTTTTGGCTGCAGGTTCTGGCTGAGCCTTCTGCCTTGGCTGTCTGGGTTCTGGGAGGGGATTGCATGCTTCACTCTGTGTTCCTGCAGGCTGTGCCCCAGACCTGCTTTCTCATGAGGTCAAAGGCCCATGCAGATTGCTGGTAAAGCTCACTGGCCTCCTGTGTAGCTATCAGGCCAAGGCTGAGTATAGCTAGTTCATGCAGTCTGGCTGTTGCCAGCTTGTTATCCCTTACTCTGCTTCTTACCCTTACTGGTTGCTTCTTGTCTTACCATAGATGGAGAGCCCTTGGGGGAGCACTGTGTTTGGGGGGCACTAGGAACTGCTGTAATACAGATAATGGCTGGCAACACCCTCTAGTTCAGTGTGTGTGTGATTGTGCTGAGAGAGAACCCAGTGTTGCCTTCCACCTGGAGAGGAGTAAGAAGGTCTCCTCTGGCACCAACAATGGAGGGTAGCACTGCTCCACTTCCAGAGCAGTCTGGGCTGGGACCTCACCAAGCCCCACTTGTGCATGTGTGTATGCAGTAACCTAGCTGTGGGTGCAGACTGGGGGAGGAGAAATAGAGGCCGGCCCCTCTATTTAACATGCACTTCTCAGGAGACTGGTGGGTGTTCCTGACCTCCCTACAACATGGCATCTGGGCACTGGGGGATGTTCTGGATTTGTCCTGACTTATCCTGTTGTTCCTTTGGCTCTTTCTTTTCCTGGCAGATGCTTGAGACTGAATCTGAGAAGCCAAGGGAAATGCCTTCTGAGGAGAATGTGGCAGCTGGCAGTGCCCCTCCAGCCACACAGGGCCCTGGTGGTGGAGTGTCCAAGGATGCTGTCCCAGCTGTCTCGAGTGCCTCTTGGGAGAACACAGCAGCAACTCCAGCTGAGAGTGTGAGGGAGCGGCACAGCTCCGGCCCAGCCTTTGTGATTCCAGAGCTGCGCCTGGATAGCACTTTCAGCCAAAGCGTGGAGGGTGCTGAGGACAGCACGGTTGATAGGGAGGTGGATGAGGACGAGGATGAGGAGGACGAGGAGGATGAAGAAGAGGATGAGGAGGAGGAGGACGAGGAGGATGACAGCGATGAGCATTACCTGGACAGAAATGAGGGCAAGCGCAGCAGCATGATTGCGACGCCAGGCTGTGAGCCGGTCTACACCCTGAGTGTGCAGAGCTCCCTGCGGCGCCGCACGCACAGTGAGGGCAGCCTGTTGCAGGAGGCCAAGAGCCACTGCTTCACTTCTGACACCACCCTCAACTGCATGGACAGCCAGAGCCCCAAGACCCACTGGGCCCTGCCTTCTCCCAGGACCCTTAAGAAGGAGCTCACCAGGAATGGGGGCTCCATCCACCAGCTCACCCTTCTCTTCTCTGGGAACAGAAAGGTATGTCAGCCAGGGCACGGATGCCCCTACTCACTGCAGCCACTTCCCTTGGGGTGGGAAGGATGGCAGCTGGTGCAGGACTCTGCTTAGCATGGGTGGCAGTGGGAACAGGCTGAGCATCGTGGGCTTGGGGCAGGTGGTGTGTCCTGGCTTGTCTGCTGGGCCTGTTTCCTTCCTTGTCCCAGCAGGGGCTTTCCCACAGGCTCCAGGGGAGTCTGTTCCTTAGGGTTTGGGCCATGAGCCAGAGACCTGCCACCAGAGAGGGGAGATATGAGGACACCAGATTTGGGTGGGTATTTGTTGCTACTCAGGGCATCTTCATGCAGATTCTTCCCCCGTGCCCAGCCCATTGCAGGTCCCCTTTTAGCTCAAGCATGTTGAGGATTTATGGCTGCCCCAGCACATGGGCAACAAGGGACCGGCACCCCCCAAGAATCATAGTGTTGGGGGCCCCACTGCCTGGGGTGGGGAAGCAGAGCCTCCTCTCCATGGTGATGGTGCTGTGCCAGTGATGTCCTCTCCTGTCTCAGAGCTCCTTTTGGATCTCACCCCCTTTGGCAGCAGAGCTGGCAGTTATCCCAGACACATGTGTGATATTCAGGCCTAGCTCACACAGAATGGATGTGATCTGGGCGCGGGGCACTCGGTTCTCCAGGGTTGGAGACAACCCTGCCAGTGTGCCCCAGGTAAGAGTGCTGGTGCCATGACCAGACATGTAGACAGCAGCAGTTCTTGAGAGCTTTTCCACTGATGGCCCAACTGCTCATCTTGCCATGACTCCTCCATGCACTTGGGAAAACAGATATGCCCTGAGGGTTTGCTCCTTTAACAAGATCTCTTTGCCCTGGGCCAGTGAAAGGGAGGGAGGAGGTTGGTGCTAAAGTTCCCTTTAGGTGGAGGGATGTTTGGAGCCCCCAGTGGATTTCTGCAGACTTCTGTAGCTTCCCCCTCCCTCCCCTCTTGTTGGTGGCAGCTCCTGTGACTTTGATCCTGCACTAGGATCCTGTCATGGGCTTGTGCCCTCTGTCTGGTGCCCTCTGTCTGTTGCCATGGAAACAAGGGTGATGTCAGTGACAATCTATGACTTCATTGCCAGGTCATGTAGATGGAAGGAGCACCGTTTGAAACAAATCTTTTCACTGTGGGAGGACAAGGGCCTGCAGGTCAGGACTAGGGGCATTGGAGGAGCTGTATGGGGAGCAGAGCTCCAGGACTGCATAGCAGGGGCCACAGGCTGGTGCTGAGGAGCATTGGCTTGTCCTGTACCTGCTGGAGTGAAGTTTGGGGAGCCAGCAGGACCACTCTGCAGTGCAGGAGAGAATCTGCCTTTGGCCAAGTTTTGAGCTGGAAGCTGGGAGCCTTTCCCCTGGGGGCATGCTCTCCTCCAGCATAGAGTAGATGACTCGCTCCCAGCCTCTTTTGGGGAGGTTAATCCCTGAAGATTTAGTGGTGGGAGGTTGAACCAACTGTGGCTGGCCCTGCCTGTGCTTCTGGGGCCCTGTGAGCATGTGGGTCTCTCTGCTTCGTTGTTGGTCTGCCCCATCCCTGGACTAAGCTGGTGTGCCTCTCCATCTCGCCCTGCTGTAGGGGACAGGTGGCCCTGGCACGGGGAGCTGGCTGGGTCAGAGCAAGGTGCAGCTGCTGCTGGCATGAGTGAGGAGCAGGGATTAACAAGGTGTGCCATGAGGCTGCCAGCCAGAGCTTAACCCTCTCTGTGCCAGGCTGGCATTCCACTTTTAGAAGCAGCTAGGGCTGCTACTTCCTTTGGGATCTTTATCCATTTGAGCTGATCAAGACTGGCCATCTCTTAGACTAGAAAGCCAACGTGGGCTGAACACTTTGAACCCAAAGGTGCTAACACCTTTGTGGGGGGAAGTGTCCTGAGCACCCAGCTAGTCCAGGAGCACTTCTGGCTGCAGCCAGTTGTTGAGCCTCTGTGGGTTAGGAGTATGTATGAAGAGGGCCCTGGCCTTAGACTCCTAGCAGGCTTACTGGTTGTTGTGCTCACAGGTCAGAGAGCCCCTGGCAGGCAGCGGCTTATCCGGCTGAGAAAGGAGGCAGCATGACAGATTTCCGTGCCAGCTTCCTCCTGGGGGCCCACACTGCTCGCAGCTCAGTAGATGCAATGGCAGTGTCCAGTGAAGGCCTGTATTGAGTGAGCCCATGTGACCATGTAGGATCAGCAGCCCCTTGCTGTAACAATGCTTGATGTGTGCTAAAGCCCATCCTTTTAGTCCCACAGGCCAGGAGGCTAGTGTGTGCACAGTCTGCGGGCCAGATCAGCCCTGTGCTGGATCATGCCTGCAGCCATGGCACCATATGCAGGGTCGTGTCATCTGGCCTGCAGGGCTTGGAAATTGGGTGGCCAGGGAGTGAGTGGTGCCACAGTTAATTGCTATTGCTCCCCTGCTGCCAAATTTCTGGGCCCTTCAGGACCCCCAGGGGCTAGATGACATGGATCCACAGGCCCTGCTGCAGGAGGGAGGCTGAAGGCTACTGTGCTCACGAATGCCTCTATAATGTGCTGCTAGGGTGTGTGGAGTGCTGCCCTCCATGGGGGAGAGATGAAAATGGTTTATCTGCATCTCAGACAGGGATTCTGCTTGGGATTGGGTGGTGTGGCCTGTGCTCTGTCCCTGCTTGTGACAGGCAGGCCAGGATGTGCTCAGAGGGCAGCAGTCCCACCTGGGCAGCGGTATCTTCCTCATGTGGTTCCAACTTTGCCTTTGAGCCACAGCTTGCATTGGTCTCGCCAGGTTTAAAACCTGTCAGCTGAGGTGTTGCCCTACACGCAGTGAGCTGCAGGAAGTGAGGCTCCCTGTGCAACTGAGACAAGCCTCTGCCTGCCTCGGAGGGTGGCTTGTTCCTGTATTTGCCCCCTGCCATTCTATAGCCAGCAAAGGAGAGCTGACATTTATGCAGCCACGCAGCAGAGACCGCCTGTGCTGCAGCCAACCCCCTCACCCCCTTCCAGTCCACCACCCATACAAGAGAGGGATCCCGCCACGCAGAGTCCAGTATCTTTCCTTTGAGTCAGACTTAACGCTTCACCTCCTGACACAGAAGTCTGCTCAGTTCTTTGCTGATTTTTCACTTCTGTGCCCTGAATAACTATTTGGGTTCATGCCATGTGGGAGTCTCGTGTTTCTATGGTGACTGCCGTGCTGTGGGCTGGATTAGATCTGGCTGTTCCTGAAGCCTTCAGGAATGGCTGCACCCTGTGGAAATGGGCATTGAACTTGATAGTTGAACTGTGTGGCATGCCCGGAAGCTGGGTAGAGCAGACTTCTGTGAGCTCTGGAGATGGATAATACACAGCAGGCAGAATTACAATGGTGTCAGGGGCTGCTCACCCTGCTCTGGCTTGTGTAACTGCTCCAGGCTCCTGATTGCTACCAGCACACTGTATTTTTTCCAAACCATTCTTGGCGTCATGTTAACTCCATGAGAGCCCAGTACCATGCAGATGTTATGGCAGGTTACTATACCAGGGCAGTCTGAGACTCTCTTCCTGGGTGTCCTAGGAGAGCTCAGGGCTGAGAACAGCCTGGATCCAACTCCATGGGTCTTAATTGCTCCTGGTTTAACAGGAAGGATTTGGTGAATCCCAATTGGTGGCTATTCCCAGTGAGAGTCTCTGCTGTACTTGGTTGGACCAGTGCAGGGGGAGTGGCCAGGCTGGGGGACCAGCTGGACTAAGAGCTGCCTTGCTGGGCCCTGTTTTGGCTGTTTCTGTGAAGTGATAGCCTCTCTGACTCCATGCTCTGAAATCCTCCCCTTGTGCTCCTCGTTACTTTGCCTCCCAACCCAAATAAAGAACCGTGGTGCTTCAGGTATGAGGACTGCTCCCAGGAGCAGAACAAGCTTGGACGCCACGACGTAGATGCTGCCTCTAAAGAATCCTTCCAGGAGAACTGACTTCACATGCTGTCGGCTGACCCCCGGCCCCGCTCTCAGGCAGGGAGTGCCCTCTAGTGATAGCTGTGCTTATCGACAGGACCTGCTCACAGCCCTGCGTGGCCCTCTGTTGGGGTGGTCATTGTGAGCTGGAGCTGAGCGCTGAGCACTACCATTTGCACCTCGCTCCATCCTGTGGGACGTGGGTGAAGGACAAGCACTGTGCAGCGGGGAGTCCTTGTGTTCCATTATCCCTATCTGATGAAGCTGACCCCAGCCAATATCCCCAGCATGCCTTTTCCCAGTACCAGCACAAACACCTGTAGTGCACTGAGGGCCTCCAGCACCTGCCCTGCCCTTGACAAGGATGTGCCAGCCAAACCCTCCAAGCTGAGCCAGGGGCCTCCTTCCCACCTCAGGTTCCTAGTAACATTGAGAAGCAGCAGAAGAGAGACAAGTTACTTGAGGAAGTTTGGGACACCTAGACAAAGGTTTAGGCAAGAGCCTTATTGCGTCTTCCAGCTGTCAGTAACCCTCCTGTGTACATGACAGGATTTCCTGCCATGAGTGGTCCCTGGGAATGGTTAGCAGCCTGTAACCAGCTTCCAGGGCTTGTGCCTTGTCTTACTCCTGTCTACACAGAGTTTTCAGCTTGGTAGATGAGGTCCATCTCTGGCCATAGTGTTTTTGCATGAATGCCTCATTGCTCTGACCAGCTAGGGAAGCCTCTCTCATACCCTGGGATCTTGGAAGCCGTTGAATGTTTTGCTTTTTCGTGGTAGTGATAGAGTGGTGTTGTAGCCATGATGGTCCAGGAATTACGCGAGAGGCAAGGATTTCTTTGCGTGATATCTTTCATTTGACCAACCGCATAGCTGGGATAGCTAGGCAAGCTTTCCAGTGCAAGCTATTCTCCTCTGAAGATCTGAAGAAGAATGCTTTGCATTCAAAATCTTGTCTTACTCTACTATGTAGTTGGTCCAATAAAAGATATCACCCAAATAAATCCTTACCTTTGCTTTTCAGTCCAAATGTTCTTAATGGTGACAGAGCTGGGTGTCTGATCAGACCCAGTGCTTAGCCCTGAATTCTGGGACTGGGGA